GTCGTCACCCCGCCCTTGACACTGAGATAAGGCCGCCGCCGAATATGGATTACCGATATTGCGGTCTGTTCCGCTTACGACGTACACCTAACTGGTTACTCGAATCCGTTTCCGTGTGTACTTTTCTACCTTTTGGTTGGTTTTGTTTTATATAACATTTTCGTCGACCGTTACGCGTCAAGCATCCGTGTTGGTGAAATATTCGCAAAAACTAAAGTGAACTAAATATATTTTTAACACACATATTGATATTACTTATCGGGTACATTTGGTGTACACGACTGAACGTGTACTGTTACGCGTCAACCATCCGTGTTGGTCAAATATTAGCAAACGCTAAAGTGAAATAAATATATATATTAACACACATATACTAATATTACTCATCGGGAACGTTTTGTGTACCCGCCCAAACGTATACTGTGGATACGCGATAACTGGCTCCCCGTCAAAAGGAATCAAAACCGGTCGAGAAGTTAAGGTAAGAGGCTTTGAGCCGATTCAGTTTTATTTCTAATTATATTAGATTTTAGTTTTAACGTGAAACGGTGAAGTCTCCCTTATAGATTTATTAGTTCATATAGTTATTTGAACGGATTTCACTGGTGACAGCAGTGAATTTTTACCTGGGTTATTCACACTTACGTGTTAGCGGGATTAGATTTAGCCGGGCTCTGGGAAAATTTTCTTTTATAAAAATAAAGTCAGAGCAGTTTATCTAATATAATCCGCCGTAGGTATTGTCGTTTTAAAGTGTTGGTTACAGTTTATTATAAAGACCTTATTGATAGCGACAAAAAGTGAATTTCCGGCCGATAGTTACAGTCTTTTGGTAGATAAAAATCGTATATTTTCGTCTGACCTTGTCAAAGCGGCCGATTCCAGGTAAACGTTATTATTATTGTTCACTCGCTGCCATATCATATACGGCGGCCCCGGACCATTTTATCGCGGTCATTATCACAACAATAGCAATAATAATAACACTTGTTTTCTACAGCGCTAGTATATTTGACCATACACGGAGATATTGTTTATCTCCGCTACTATAGTAACATACATTTGATTATTAAGATTGTAAATAAACAAAATATTCACGGTCAATATGTCGGGGAAATTATTAGCACAAATGAATTGCGCTGAATTACGTCGCGAATGCGCTTTTAGACAGCTACCATGCTACGCGACAAAACCCAATATGCTAGTTATGCTGGAGGAAAACATACGTAGCGAAGGGAGGGACCCAGCTACTGAAATTTTACCACCCCGTACGCCGCTCGATAGCGAAAATCCGGTCCGCGAACCCGAAGTGGTGGTTGTAGACAACTCCACGGACCGCACCCGCGAATTCGACGCGAATTATCAGCGGCCCGGCGTAGCATCGTTACCGGAGAAACATCCGGTGAACCTCGCGCTACACACATCAGACGACGAGTCTGATGTCGAGCAACCGGGGGATATTACGCGCGCAAGCGGTCAACTAGGCGTGCCATACGTTGAAGACGTATACGTTGCCCGCTCGATAGCG